CGTAGGTTGTGTTATAAGATAAAGTATTATTTCCCATTATTCTACTCTTTCATTGCGGTAACGTCCGCACTTATTACATTACTTGTATTTTTTACTCCGTTACCATCGGAGTTACAAGAAAACCACTGAACCACCAGCACACCGATCATTTGCATGTGAAATGAACTTTATGATATTTCAACCATATTGTGAAATTCAGAATATTTTTCAAAAGCTAATAATGTCAATTATTTTTACAATCTCCAGTTGGACAACGACCGCATCACAAAAGAGAAAGCTGAAAACTCTAGGTTGATTTCGGTTTACACAACGGCCTGGTTGTGGGCCCTGCCTCGAATGCCTAGTTGCGATGCACCACAATCAAATGGCTCACCTACCCTACTTTCCAATGCGTGGGATAAGAAATTACAAATGCGAGTAATGTGTTGTAGAATGGAATATGTTGGCCGATAAAGCTGTGCCTCTGTTCCCGTCCACAATTTACGGCTTGCGACAAAATCGCCTGCGATCACCGCTTATCCAGCATTTCCTATCACTCAAGCTTCTGTGGATGTGAACATTACTCTATTGAAATGAAATTGCTTATTGTTTTCACCGACGCCGGTTGCCCTGGAAGCTAGGCGCCCCCCTCTTTGCACACCTCGTCTGTCATTAATATTTGACTTCTCTTCATTGACTAAATACTATTCACTTTTCTTCCACTCCAGTACATTCCTAAATCCCTATTTCCATCAGTTTTCTGGCGTCTAGCCCGTCCTAGATCTAATTTATGTTTCGTAATAAGGGCGGCAATTTGTGGGACCACTTCACCCCCACCTGTTTTCCTTTACCTAGTCACCTATCCCTTTGTCAATTTCCCCGTTTCTCGAAACCTAAGCTTTTCGGCGTACTGGATAAGGAGAACTTTGCTTTTGACAGTGCTCACATGGGCGCATTACCCGCTCTCCCTTTACGAGAGAGCGGGTCAAGCACCGATGTGAATTGAGCTGCTTAGCTTTGCATAGCTGAAGTGTGCTCTGTTATACTTTAGGACTCGACCGGACCTCCCAAGTGTTTCACCAGGTGTGGGTTTTGGTACAGATGCCCTAACGGGGATAGGCTCTCAAAGAATACCCGAATTGCCATATAAACGGCTCTGGAAGATTAGCTGTTCACTCGCACAACATGTTCGAGGGCTGTCTGCCAAGCATAATCAATAGATGGCCCATTTGACGGCCATCGAGGTCAATGAGGAGAGCATTAACTTGGCGGCAGTGTATTTCCAGCAGTCGTTTACCTTAACTTGTCTAGGGCACCTCTTTTGTTCTGTTGATAAAGGTGGAAGAACGGAAGAGCAGCCAAAGGAGTCAGACTTCTGACGTTCCCAGCAATATCTGGCGTAACTTCGATGAGGCGAGATTCACTTGGGCGATGGAACTCCTCAATTGGGCGTAGCTTGAACTTATCTTATCCATCGAGGGTCAAAGTGATTTGAGAAAGCAAATGCTCTAACGACGAGTGTCAATGTCGCGAATTTTGTTAAATTGGAAGTTTTATTTTTGATAAACAAGTCTCGTAAATGGTTGAATTTTCAGAAGAGGCTCGTATTGATGTAAGGATCAAATATTGTTTTAGCAGATTTCAATGAAATTTGTCTTCGGTCGGGAGGCAGGAAGAAACAAGAACCCTATTTGCCTGACCATGGGCCATGTTTCTGCGACTATTTACGAGTCAGTGGGTTGAATGACTCTCCCAAATGGGATGTTCAAGGGATTGACCATGTGGGATATTCCTAAATGGATTGCGATGAACTCCAAGTGATTAATCCTCTGCGTTTTCTGATCGCTTCCCCGGACACAGCGCTGTGCAATGTTTATCGCGATCATGAGCCTATGACTCACCTCCGTTGTGAAAACCGTTTCATGGGACGCTCCGTGGTCGATTTCTCCCGCATGCACGATTTCGCAACCATCTTCATCCAGCTCCCACATTGTTCCTGTGCAACTTCATCCATCCTTTTTGTTGCATATTATCTCTTCTATTTGAGAGCATAAGGATAGTTGAGTGGTTTGACCAACTGAGCACTGGTTTTCCNTTCGTTCTCCTGCTTCGGAGTTCGGCCTGCGTTTGGCTGTTTTTCACCTCTTTGTATGAATCCAATGCCTCGGCTTGTTGATCTGTTGACTGCTGTTGACCGTTCTTTCTCTCCATGCGTCCACTTTTATCAGCTACGAAGAGGTGGCTAGTCGTTATTAGAATTAGGCAGTCAGTAAGTGATCCACAATCAATCTAACATGATGCTGTAATATTGATAACGCCGTTTTTCCTAATTTCTTTTTTTACTTTGAATATAGGGTGTAGCAGTGCACTATGGACGTTATCTGAACATTGAATACCTTCAAGCTGCTAATTAAGAGGGAATGCGCCATGCCTTTGACTATCTATCAGAATTGTAGTGACGGAGTGAATGCGTGTGTGGCCTATGCAATGGCTCGCAGGGAACAGCTGTTGTACAATTCGGTGATTTTTTCCTATCAGACGAGTCTGGTACCAATTAATCGACCCCGGTAGGATGAAAGGCTTCAGGCAGTGATAGCCGAGTGCATAAGAGTATAGGCTCACGTCTGCAATTAGAAGGAGTGCAAGTTCGATCCCTGCTGAGGCAGCTCCATGCCTTGAAAAAATTACAAAAATGGTTTCGGTACTAGCGTCGGGCCCAGGTTAACACGCCGGCTGATGGAGGAACCCAGTCACAACAATAATGTCTGAAGTCTCAAAAGGAATCAGTGATAAAGCTAGGACGTCACCCGGCATTGACGCACAGGACCCCCGTCCGAGTTCTGTGGACAGTATGCGAGGGCTACCGAGGACTGAACGATCTCCGCCAAAGAAGTTGGTTCGAATTGGGAATCTAAATGTGGGATCGCTCATTAGGAAGTCCCCAGAGTTCGCTGATCTTATGAAGGTTGCGTCATTTACGATACCGGAGGCAGTTAGTTGAGTCATTGTCGTCCGGCCACTATCGTAGTTGGATGCTTCCGATTTCTTCTTTTTCCCACCCTCCACCGCCTTTAAACCGGCCCCAGCTCCAAAGTTTTGGGGCCATCGTCACCACGCCATGTTACTGCCATGGCGGTCATTCTTATAACCTTTCCAAAGTACATTACAAAATGGTCGTTGTCAATGTCAGTGTCAGCCAGTCTTTGTTCCCTATGAATTTAATCATCGATCAGGATTGTTGAAACAGTCTCTCACACAGTGATGTTTTTTTGGGTTTGGATGTTTCAACGTCGCCCATCTAGAGGAGGGGTTGATCGAGGGTATTCAGTTAATTCGAGAGCTGTCAAAGAATGAAGTAGCTATTCCGTCATTGTAACAACCTCCAGGATGGTGATGGGTTCATCCTTTGTGGCATTGCTTCATGTCCAGCCGCCGCGAAAATGCAACTGGTAAGAAAACTAAAAACCCTTGACTCTTAGAAATACTCGTAGTTCCAAATACGTAAGGCTATTTCCTTAAGTGCTTGGCAGAACTACAGCCGCAAACTACGTTTCTGGTTCTCAGTGACCTTGAGAACCTGATTCCAGTTCAGTTCAATTGGTGACTATCGAATGCAGTGGAACCTTGCTCTACTAGGGCGGGTACTGCATCTTGTCACTTTTTGTAACTAATATAGAAGTTCCCCTTTGCAACTGTTCATTCCAATCATCAATTTCATATTTTCCTTACTTTCACTGGCCTCGATTTTATTTATTCAGTTATTTTGCTTCTAAGACATTTGTTCCTTTCATGTTCCGATTTCGGGATTTCTTGAGTTGCAAGGCTTCTACAATACTACCGGAAATGAAACTGGATAACTGAATCTATTCAGAACTTCACTCATATCGTATACAATATTGTTATATTGAATGTTCTGTCCTGGTGCTAACCCGAAGTCTCTTCTGATCCTATTCATGCATTTCCTCCCTATTGTTAATGGAAACTACTCCCAAGTAGCTTGAGTTGCAAGGACGAATAATACCGAAAAGGCAGAGGCGGTGTAGAGGCAAGTTGTGCACTATCACACACTCATGGTCACAAGTTCAAATCCACGACCGATAAAATTCGCCTAAGTCAACAAAGCCTTTCATCCTTCCAGGTCGGTCATTCGGTACTAGACTCGTCTGGGAAATTAAAATTAATGAATTGTCCATCGGCTGGCCACCGTTAGTCATTGTATAGGTCACCTATGTACACATTTGTAACGCCACTACGATTCTGAATAGAAGTCGAATACGGAGGCGCTTCCCTCAGACGGAGTTGATTAACTATCTAAAACTTTATGATTTATCCTTCTATAATCCAGGGAACAGGTTTACGCTAGATCTCAGGCTGTGTTGTGGTAAGTGGCGCAGTATCCTACCCGCAAGGTCCATGGGTCGAATCCTGGATCAATAGTGTCTTAAATCAACTAGGCCTTCAATCTCCTTGAGATCGCTTACTTTGCTCCCCACTAATGTTAAAGTCTACATTTTTTTGACATTTTCATTGGCTGGCCAGCTAGAGTCAGTCATTGCATCCAGAAACCCCATTACTCCCCGTTCCTCCACACCCCGAGGGGTGCATTGCCTGGAACGAAATTGATTGGAGCCAAAGAGCTTCATCCTCCATATCTCAATAACGAGGGTCTAACACAAGTCCTGATCATAAAACGCTTATGGCTTTTAGTTGAAAATGGTAAGAATTCGAAGTACCATTAAATCCAAATCAACTGATGTTCTAGATTTGCCATCACCACGATATGGTCTGATTTTGAGCTGTTCTTGCAATAGTTCTTCGCAAAATTTCCCTTTCTATCAATCTGCTTAATCCATCAGAGCATTTCCAATCCCATCATTGTTTCATTAGTGTTCGTCGCTGGAAATGATTTGGTCATTCGAAAGCGAAATTGATGAAACTATTGTTTCTAACGCTTTTTATTATTACGATAATTAGTAGAACTTGCAGCATTGCCAGGAAAGCACTGAAGACTCTCCCGATTTATGCACGAATTCACAATAGGACCACTTGGAGAGTGGAATGGAACGGCAAAAGTTATTGTTAAGACGGTAGGGAAGTGGGCTTCAATGTACCGCCATCGGTGATCTACACTGTTTTAGGGCAGTATTTTTGGCGAATCTGCAGATGTGATTTGCCTGACTGTAAGCAGCACCTTGGAACATTCACCTTCGATATGGAAATCTCTTACAACACAAGCAGGACCCAGGGAATACAAGGTGTGTCATTTTAAGTTCTCCATGGTTTCATAGGAAACTGTCTTCAAACTGTTGTGAGATGCCTCAGCGTTTCATTATGCCGTTGCAGAAAGCTTTCAAAACTGCTAAAGAAGGGTCGCAATACCTTGGACATGGCGATATCCTTGTTGTGGACACTTCCAAGACAAAGGTGAGCTGTTTTCTGGACTTTTGGCTATTTGTTTGTAGTGCCCTAGAAGGTCTGCAACTAACCACATCATATGTGGCATAACCAAAATGACCAAGTAAATTTCCTGTTTTCTTTCATTTTTTGGTATCCGATACATCAATGCGGAATTCTATTTTGGGTCCGTAGGCTACCACCAAAAACCCGACTAGAAACTGGGTTATTTGAATAGTTATGAAGAGGTCCCTCGCTACTGACAGTTGCAGTGGCGGCAGTGGGTTCTGTCTCTTTCATGGTGAAATCCTGGTTTCTGGAGACGACAATTGCGTCGAAGTATCAGACTGTTGATTTATCCAACAGGTACACCTGAAAACCTCGAACGGCAAAAGAATAATACAAAGCAAAGAAGAAGTTGAAAACTAGGGTAAAGTGTTGGTGTCACTGAAAGTTTTGCTATGCGCCACAAGCTCGGAGTACATTCAAAATCTGAGAGGCATTGGGAAGCTCACCTGGCTTTGAATTGTGTTGTTGAGGGACAACTCGTACGTAATATATATTACAGAGTCCTGTTTTCATAAGCTCACGTGATACCATCTCATGCCTATTATATTATATGAAAGGGGTCTGCTCCATCTTCGAAGCGTGTAGAGGCGTAGTGAGAGGTGGTGCAACAATTTTAAAGATTTTCTTCGTAGAAGTCTTTGCTCTTGGTTGTCACACGCATTTTTCCGAGATTTATTTGTGGCTGTATGGTAGAGCAATCTTACTCATATTTCTTCATTAAGAGCTGTTTAGAAGCTTCAAAGTGCTAAATCCCCCTTAATCAGTAAAATCAAATGTTGCTGATGTAAGTGCAACGTACAAAGTTCAGTCGCGCTCTTATGACCACCACTGACATCGTGGGTGTTTGATAGCAGTTTCCTGGAAGGGTTGGACTAGCGGCAAGTGACTCCCTAACACGCACATTCTGGAATCAAACTCGGGATCATTATTCGCTTAGGTCCACCATCTTTCGTTATCGCTAGTTTAGTACTATCTGGGTTAATAAAAGCGGCGAATTGTATACTGTTTACCCACCCTTCCTATTCCAAACTGCCTGCGCTCAAGCAAACACCGCTACGATGTTTTAGTGTTTGTGTTTTGTATGTTGTATGTGTTTTAGTGTATGTTTTAGTAATAGGCAGTGCACAGGCGTACTCCATTTCTTCACTCAAAAAAACAACCTTTCATCATACTTTCCTTTGAATTAAGGAGCTTTGTTGCTCCCTTTTGCTCCTTTGTTTACTCCTTTGCTCCGTAGAAATGGATAATGCTTGATTGAATCAGCGGTGCCATCTCCATAGCCAGTTTTACCCCCACTTAGATACCATCGCCAAATTGGACTAACTGACTCTTCACTCTGTATGGGTCGGCATATCGGTATTGTACTCTCCCATAAGGGCACCAGAACATGAACATTTGATGACCTATGCAAGGGGCACAGCATGAAGTTTCGCTGGAGATGTATGTACAGCAGTTATTCCTGCACTTCGAACTCGATTGCTCCGGCTCCTCAGAGAGGGGACGAGTTTGATATGAACATCGCGCTTGTACATGGCAAATCTTACTGTATGACAAGCGCGCACTCTGTATCCTTCACGAATTTTAATTGAGGTGAAGTATAGGGCGTATTCATGGATGGGTTAGACTCGCTTCTTCTTGCTCGTTGCGGGTTTTTTCACTTCTTTTTTAGAGGGTATTCCATTCAGTTATGAATCTGCATTGGTAGTAATAAAGGATAAGGAGCTAACGTTTGACTCGTTTCTGGAATATCTACCTGCATTCGAATTCCACTCAGAATTTAGTTTGAATGCGTATAGAGCCCATGGGACCACTTGAGGTGGCCAGCTGACATACAAATCGGTACTTCTTTCCTACAGGACGAGTTTGCCACCAATTTAGAGATAGGGAGATTAAGTGTCTATTGATCTGGGCTAATATCGATCTGGACCATGCCTTTCTGACACTGCACCACTCGCCACTGCGCAACCTCCGCCCATTTTTGTTAATGGCACTTGTGAAATGCTTTGCTTTTGCTAAAACTAGGATTCACTTTTTCATTACATCTTCACTTAATCGGGCATTGTTCTATCATTTCATTTTTTTAGTTTCAGCTGTCTGCAAAATTTGTTTTTCTCGTCGTCTATCCCGATATTCATCATCTCGACAAGGCATATCGTGCAATTTTCCGTGAAGCTGCTGCTCGGAAGTGTACTTCAGTAGTGATCCCTGGACTAGGATGCGGTTTGTTTTTTTTTTGCCTCTTTAGTTGTCGAATAGTTTATTCATATTTTCTAGATTTCTGGAAAGGTTGTGCCTCAAACCAAACATACGTACTTAATTCATCTTTGGTATTGATAGTATCAGGCTCACTTTCTTTTATTTTTTTCTCACACACTTAATTATGTAATCTCTCATTATAATTTCCACAACGTCTACATTCTGCTGTTCTCTGTTACGTTCACAGCACAGTTACCTAAACTATAGATTCGGTTTCTCGTTGGTTGTTCAATTCTGTACCACTCACAATGAAGCCTTAGGACGCCGAGGAATAGAACGCTTTTGTGGGAGACACCCAGGCGGTCACAGACACAGTCTTATACAAAACCCTTCCCACCTAGTTTTTGAAGCCTAATTTCTCATAAAATTCAGCGGTTTTCTTTCTCGCAATTTTCAGCACTTTTCTATAAGTTCCATCATATCACTTAAGCTAGTTACCCTAGAATTATCGTAAACTGTGCCTTCAAACTTTCATCTTCGACAGCTCTCCAAAAAAAATAAACGTGACTATGCTCCCAAGGAGTTCGGGTATCGGTGACTGACAAATGTGACATAGTTACTT